TGTCTGTCGGCTGCTGTCAACTGTCCAAGTATTTCCAGTGGTTGTCCCTTCAAGCTCGTTGCCAGATATACAGATATACAAATATAGTGCTGGTATATATATACTATATATACTAAGATGTATATATAGTACATGGTGCTATATGTATGCCTCTTTTTCAAGACGTACATCAGTTTTGATTATCTTGAGTACTGTTGCTTGGGGCACGTGGACGGCTTTTGCCATTGGATTTTGTGTTCGCATGTTCTAACCTGTTGCAATATGCCACACTCTGCTTAACATACCTGGGCTATTGCTCATTGCAAATTTCTTTCTGAATGGTATTGGTAACCCAAGTTGATCCATTTACGAAAATTATTTTAATGTGAAGAGAGATGCGCAACGGAAACTTTGCTGAGTTAGGGGGCACCGCAAGTTAAAGTTTGGATAACACTGCTCTAGTTTATTACTTCACCGTGGTGGGCAGACCACAGATAACCCATTGTGTAGCTTTGTGCTTTACTTCAAAGAAACCAAACTATTACTTCAAAATTAGGAACGACTACCGCAGATAGCCTCTGAGTAGCTTTGCGCGAATTTGAAAACAATACACAAATTATAGAAAAGATCAAATATCACAGCTTTATTTTCATTTGTTTTGAAAACCTTATGCAACAAACTATGAAGTTTCTATTCTTCACGCGTTTCACAGTATATGATATTTTGCAACAATGTAATAAAATTAAATTCAAGTCATTGAAACTACATTAGTTTACTGAGCATAAATAGATGGAGAGAAAGTTAAAAGTGTTTTCATGTAAACAGATTCACACTACGTTGATAGCTTACTTCAAATTTGTATTAGAGTTTATATTCTCAACATGAGGTATATAAACCATTTCACTATGCTTTTAAAATGTTGTTTGCCAATTTATTATTATAGTAGCATAACGTACTTCCATACTTAAGTGTTTTGAATATATGTTTGTGCTGTTACTCCCGCCCCCCCTCTCTCTATGTATATAAATTAGTTAGATATGAATTTGTTCTTTATGTGAGCAGCTACAGGTTTTTGACCCCCCCCATTGTGTTGATATAATTAAAACTAATACTCCATGGTGCTGGTATAATTAAAACTAACACTCCATTGTGTTGATGTAATCAAAACTAACATTCTATGGTGCTGGTATAATTAAAACTAACACTCCATGGTGCTGGTATAATTAAAACTAACAGCCCATTGTGTTGGTATAATTAAAACTAAAATTCTATGGTGCTGATATAATTAAAACTAACACTCCATGGTGCTGGTATAATTAAAACTAACACTCCATTGTGTTAATATAATTAAAACTAACATTCCATGGTGCTGGTATAATTAAAACTAACAGTCCATTGTGTTGGTATAATTAAAACTAACACACCATGGTGCTGATATACTTAAAACTAACAGTCCATTGTGTTGATATAATTAAAACTAACATTCCATGGTGCTGGTATAATTAAAACTAACAGTCCATGGTGCTGATATACTTAAAACAAACAGTCCATTGTGTTGATATAATTAAAACTAACATTTCATGGTGCTGGTATAATTAAAACTAACAGTCCATTGTGTTGGTATAATTAAAACTAACACTCCATGGTGCTGGTATAATTAAAACTAACATTCCATGGTGCTGGTATAATTAAAACTAACAGTCCATTGTGTTGGCATAATCAAAACTAACACTCCGTTGTGTTGGTATAATTAAAACTAACAGTCCATTGTGTTGGTATAATTAAAACTAACACTCCATTGCGTTGGTATAATTAAAACTAACACTTCATGGTGCTGGTATAATTAAAAAGTCAAACACATATTTTCTATTTATGTCAGATTAGTCGAGCTTACTAGTAAACCAACGATTTCATATATGTGTTTTAATAGATAAATAAGTTTAATAGTGGTCATAAAAATGAATAAATATCTGTCTTAACGTTTTCTTAGAGTAGGTATTATAAAGTTTGTCACATAAACGTAAAATATAATAAACTTACTTGACATTCCAGGTGGGGGTCGACCTTGTGGTACTTCTCTATTTCCAACCTGATGAACCGCGTTTCAATTAGTACGATACCATAAATGTTTCTCGCACTTTAAACTGAAGGCGCGTTATCAGGGTGACAGTCATTCTAGCATGGATGGAGGATATTAGGGTGCTACTGACTGACTACATCCTCTATGGTCGGTATATCACAATAATGTACTGTGACAGATAGCTTTAGTGGCCTTGCCATAAATACAATATATATATATATATATATTACAAGATGATAGTCTAAACGAATATTTTAAATCAAAAACATACTAATAGCAAAAAAATAAGTTAAATTTCTAAATAATTCTTAAGTACAAAAATTAGCAATATTAATTAAAACTACAGACAAAAATGAACAAACTTTTTAACCTCTAAATACTGTTTAACTAAAATATCAAAGTATAGATCACAGTTTAACTGTTTCTCTACCGAAATTCACAACTAAAAAAGTAAGTTTTAGATAAGTATTCAGTCGTTATTGCATACTTTATAAACTTATTCATTTTAAATTCAACAGTAGAATTAAGGTAGCAATATTATATTACTTTGATGACATTTGCTGACGAGAGTGCGTTAAAGTTCTTAAACATTTTTGTCTCCCTTGAATCATTCTAAACTTTATATACTATCGATTCTAACCATGTTATATTGTGTTATTATAAAATCCAATTTCTGTGTTCGATTTATTTTTTAATAGAGGTTCATTCATATTTGTTGAACTTGACAATACACAGCGAATGTTATAATAAATGTTCTCCACGTTGTTGGACAACAGACAGACGGATATAACGTGTGTCGTTATTTATACATAACCGTTCAAACTTCAACTTCGGAAAACCAACTCATCATGTTTCAACATTTAAGTCTTCTCCTCCTACACAAGCACGTTATAAAAGTATTACATGCAGATATTTAATGCATAAAGAAATCAATAAACACAAAATATTTCACGTTTTCAAATTCGTAAGTTATTGAGGATGAACAGGTAAAGAAATGTTAAACTCTATGTTCAACTGTTGACAACAACAAAGAAAAACATTTGGATGAAAATTGAAATATGTTTGAATCATTACTTTAATAAAAGTACTAGTTATTCTATTAAGTACATGAGCAAGACTGGTGTTATAAATGGTAACAATATCGGATGATATGAAAAATACTAACTTAATGATCATATAAACGTATGAAAAAATATTTATGACATTCGCTGTACTTCATTTTACTCTTTCATATGAGGTTAAATTCTTCCTTGTTTTAACTGTGATCATTTTAAACATCTCGTTACTAAAGCGGTATTCAGTCAATTATTCTTAAAATCTATTTTCAGATTTTCTTTTAACTGCTCTAAC